AAACAATACTCACCCAGTGCCCATGATTTTATCATGTCACGTTATAACAGTTGGAGAAACAAAGTCACTGAGAGATGGAGAATAACAGTAATAGCATAATGTGCATCTTACTGTGCATGATCTTAGAGTCATTGTACACACATGTGCTAGAAATAAATGTTAACTCCAGCTGCTCGTCATATTAATCAACAGCAACAGGTTCAATTCTTACAACAGAGTAGCACTCTTGAGAAGTTTGCTTTTTTTTCACATAATATGAAAGAAAAGAGGACATTTGTGAGAAAAAAAATTGCTGATAGAGCACAACAATGCAGATAGGTTGTCAATCATGTAACACTGCCCTTGAGCAGAAAAAATTGTACAGTGTAATGAGAAACAAAATGTTAAAGTATATTACCCTTTTTAATATGGTCAAACAAAGCAGCATAGGATTGATGAAAACATGCAAATTTGGGTTGCCAAGAAGTGCAGGTATTCTATCTGTATTTTAGGAAGAAGCCTCCCACTTACCTTAAAAAATGAGAAGAGTTTCTCCTTAGATCAAGCCACTAGTTCATTTTGGATAGCTATACTCTTTACATACATTTAAAAAAATTTGCAAATTTAATGTATTGTCCGGAGATTTTTTAAACTATGTCAGTAAGACAGTACCTGTTACTTAGAGTATGTATTCAGTTCATGGCTTTCTCCCTACAGACCTCCCAAGTTCATCATAAAATTAAAGTTGAGGTTCTCCTGAGGTCTGATTTAAAACAGAATAAAAATAAGGGCTTGAGCCACTGACAGAACTCATTTCTTTAGCTACAAAAAGAGAAAATAAAAGAGGGATTTTTTTTTTCCTCTAACAGAGTGGAAAGGAAACCAGGCATCTTTCCCATGTTAAGCATTCACATTCTCATTACCATGAGTAACAGCCAAAGTAGAGTAACACTCAGTAGCATTAGCAATAAGCCTTAGAATCACAGAAGCATTTGCCTCTGACTTAATTTGTTTCTTCTGTAAGAATTAAATTGTATTTTCCTCACAGAAGAATGTATTTCTGAATTTTATTCCAGTCTGGTATTAATATTCAACTCTAACCGTCCCTCTCGGGTAAAACAGAATGACTCCATTTATTTTACCACATGAAAACACAATGGAGCCCCCAAGTGTATATTTTTAGTGGGAGAGGGGGAGGATGGCCATCTATTTATATCTATATGGAGGATGGCTATCTATTTATATCTAGATATCTATTTATAAGTGAGGCAAAGAATAATATTGTAATAGAATTACCAAAAAAAAATAGCATTAATGTTTAAGACAAACATAAAATAAACATGTTAAAGTACAGGCTCTGGTAAAATGATTTACCCCTTTGTTTTGCATCTTTACTCATCTGAACAGCTACATTTCAACTGTTAGAGTCCAGGCTACACATTCAGGTGCACTCCTGAATCATCCAAATCACTAATGCCATGGCAGTAGTTCTCAACCTGTGAATCACGAGGCCACAGTATGTGATGCACAGTGATCCAAAGACTACATGAGGACCCCACAAGTCTGAACTGCTTACATTCCTCCTTCGTAAGCTGCCACATAATGCCACTGTTTCATCCTTGGCATGTAATTTGACATACTCAATCTATTAATATAAACAACTGGACCTCCTGAGCTACTCGAGCCTCAGAAAAATAAATGGGGGGAGGGGATGATTTGCCCCACAGTGAACATATTCATGAAAACACATCTGCACCATTTATGCCAACCCTGCTTTGGTTTCTTCTATGATGTAAAATTGATTTGTTGTAACTTTCTGTACATTATTTCCTGGATCTTACACAATAATGGAAACATGGAACAGCTGAACACAGAGGCTGTGTTTAGCATGCACTAAACCACCACATTGTCCTCATGATATCTCATTGAATATCTCTGCCATTTGATTTTCATAAATGGCTTTTCTTCGTAATATATATATATAGAACAGAATCCAAGATTCAAACTGATCACTAATTACAGTTATTATCTCAAAAAATCAAGTCTCCAGCAGTGTCTCTCACAAGAAGCTAGCACATTCACAGCCTCATTGTCTTCACGTCACTACTACATTAGCAACTGTTCTCTTGCTCTTATGAAGAGAGAAAAAGATGTCAAAAGTTAACTACTATGCTATTTTAAACACAGATACTACACATTCAGAAGAGGAATTTGATACAGGGTACCAGGGCAAAGCCCAGTAAAAGGAAGAACCAATGAGTTCACCCAAGAATGCATAAGCACATAATAGCTCTGTGCCCCTCTAATAGGCAAGATCAAAACCCCGGTATTTTCAAGCTAAGCAAAGAAAATAGAAAATCTGTAAGAAAAAGGAACAACTCTGTCTCACACAATAAAGTTGTTATAACAAAATACTATCATCAAAACATAATTCAGGATGGATTGGACCTCATTTTCAGGATGTACAGCATCGAGCCAGGGAAAATCTGTCATTTAATGGTTGGCTGCCCACAGCATGCACAAGTGAATTATACCAATGCTTCAGTGCATTTGCTAAGTGCTTTCACTGAAAAATCTGTTGGAACACTTTTATTCAAGAACATGAATTACAGGTTTAATACAAGACCCACAGAACAGCAAAAAATGAAAGTCAGACTCCCATGACATTATGCAGACAAACTGGCAGGTCTCTAGGGAATGGGCTGACTCTTGCAGTCCATAAACACCAAAGCCTTTAACTGTCACTGCAAGCTTTGGTTGTGAGGAAAAAGACCAACAGCCCTAAGGAGTTACATTATGACTTTCAAGATGCAGATGCTAGACAGCTAGACAGACTCATATGCATTATCAGTTTGTCCAGTGCCAGCTCCAGAAATAAAATACAGCATAAAGTAAGAGCAATTTCTCCCAAAGTAGGAGGATGAAAAACTGACACCTTTGTCACCACAAAACCTAATTTCTACCCAGACCCAGAAATGTTTGATGTATAGGAGAACAGAAGGGAGTCTCAAACTGCACTGCTTCTAATGTGTTTAGTTCAATTCATTTATCAAATACAAGTTGTTGTCTGACATTAAGGCTGCTGCAATGATAAACCTGGAAGTAATTGAGGATCTGCCTCTCTGTTGAAACATAGGTATAACAGGAAGCACTCAATAAATATTTTGCTGTTATCATGGTTTTCCACTGAAGTTTGAACTGAATCTTGTACTATATTCAGTAATTCAACAGTTTAAAGACAAACTATATATTCAAAAAAGTTATAGTACTCATTGTCTGAAAATGGAAAAATACTGTTAGAATTTGCAAGAGATTAGATATTTAAAAAAATATATAATAATTTTAAAACATATCTTTAAAAAAAGGCAATACATTTTTCTGGATCTTTTTGTGGCCAATATCTTAAAGGACTAAAAATCATTACAACTTCATGCCTTGTAGAAGTAGGCATTGTACATTGCCATTATCCATCATAATTACTTTAATTGTTTGTCTTCTAAATGGACTGACAAATAATGTCTTAATACAGAAAATTCAACAAGGAGCTATACACTTTCAGAACTACCACCGCATTCCACTGTTGTAAGCAAGTGTAGAACTAAGGCACTTAACTCTTACCTCTCCATGAATGCCACATTTTATGGTATCTTTGGGCCATACTACATCTTTCCTTATGTCAGCATGAATTTATATTTTGTAAAAAATGAAAAAGAATTGCCACTTTCAGGAGGTTAAATGATAAGAGCAATACACAGCCTTGCTTTTCTAGCAGGATGAAAGACACAGTAGCCATTTCAAAAGCAGCAGTTTTTGTAATGCTGGAGGCATTCGGGCTGGAAGGGACCTCAGGAGGTCTCTAGTCCAACCTCATTGGTCAAAACTGAATTCTGGTCAGGTTACTAAAAAGGTAATTTTTTTTAAGTAAAGAAACAGTTTAATCTACTTGAGTACCATAAATGCTATCATGTAATTGGTATAATTGGTGATTTCAAAGAATTGCTACAAGGCAAAATTCAGGTTAATTTGGTGTATTCCCAGACCAAGACATTTGGTCTAGCTTAGCTTTAGTTCTGAATTCCCATATTCCCCAATTCCCCATGGTAAAGGTTTTTTATTCCCAAATTACTGTTTTCTGTTGTTTTTCTTTTTGTATGAATCTCACAAACATTTACCAGTAAGGTTTGCATGTATTTATAGGCACACATACACAAAGTAAAAGCATAAAAATTATAAACAATAACAAAATAAATCATAAAACTTTAGGCAGATGAGGACGTGTTTCATGTTATAGTGAAAATATAAGCCAGATTTGTTCAGACTAAATTACATTAGAGTTTCTATGTTAAATGTTTCCTGTTGAACAGTCTAGAGCCAGCCAAGAGGAGCCATTAGGCAAAATAAGTTAAGAGGAGCCTGAGACATCCCAGGATCTTCATGCCTACTGAACTGTGTAATGGTAAAAGCATTAAATAGGATATATGACAGTTTTTAAGGTACCTATTTAAATGAATAATGTAAGGATTTTTTCATGTTAAAGTAATTGCACTGTTCACTCAATCTGTTTTTGCAATTAAGCAACTGTAGAAATCTGAAGCTTATAACCACACTCAGAAGAACTGAACACCTGGGCAAATGAGAAGGGAGCAGAGCAATTGTGAAGTATCTTGGACTGACCTAAACTAAAATTTGTTAATCACTATTTCCATCTTGTTAAATAATAAAGGCCAAAAGAAATTTTCAGAATGTTATTCTATCATTTGTTTTTAAAATTCCCGTGTTTACAAGCTATTAGTGTATTTAAAGATCCACAGTGTTAAGCTTTCAGTATTGCTGAAATGATGTAATTAAGTTAACACTCAACTTTAATTTAAAAGTTGCAGATTTATAACTTCTTTAATTACTATAATTGTGCTGTTTAACTCATGAATTTGCTGAAGGTGCCACAGATAGGATGGACAAAAGTACTCTATTAATTATTTTACTTATCCTAGTTTTTAATTCATGGATGGAATATGTCTTACCGTGAATTTCTTGTTGCAGTTATTTAAAGTTGTTTTCCTTTGACATGAATACTGAGATACTTTGCTTGCAGTGAACAATGGCACTTCTGATTCAGGTGTATTCAAAGTAGGATACCGATCTGCTTGTTCCTAATAAGAATAAACAAAGGAGGGTCACAGGGTAGCACATCTGCCAAATAGCTTAAAATAACAAAAATATATTCCTTGAGCCCAAAATGAGTATCTTTTAATGTGGTTAGAGAATAATAATGCTCTTACCACCTTCCTAGGAAAAAATATTTAATTTCACATTAGCTTCATTGACGTTAAAAGTTTATCTTAATTTCTTCATATCTTTCATTTTAAATTCTTGCAGAAAGTTTTCAACGGCACTGTCAAACATCTCTCTACATGGTGAATACTACTGTTATTGAAGTAAAATTTTAAAACTACAAAAAGTAATAAGGTTGAAAGAACAGAACTTTTCTTTCCATAAATCACTAGATGATTCAATACCAAATCAGGGATGTTACAGAAGGAAAAAAAAAAAAAAAAAAAAAAGATGTACAAATAACTGACTTTTTTTTTGTCTGTATCTAGGTTCAGTGGTTGACATTTATATGACTTTAAAAACCACACTCTCTTCTTGTAGTACAAAACTTTTTGGTTTGGATTGTATTTATTCAGCTAAATGTTCTATTTTTGGATCATTATAAAAAAATGAAATATTTACAAGCAGCCATAGAAGAATCATCTCCATGCTTTCATCCAATAGCCAGTGCTTGCCTTATGATGACTAAATATATAAATATATATATATGTGTATGAGTATCCTGATCAGTGAGCAATTGGAAAAGACAACCTGACAGCATCTTTTCTGCTGCTTTATATTTCCAGTCCTTTAATTCCTTTGCTTTCAGTGGAAGTGACCAAATCTGCAATATTTTGGAAACACTCAAAGTGTTCTCAGCATTTCTGTGAATTTTTTGCTATTTGTCATTTTGTCTAAAAAAACATTGGCAGATCTGTCACAAACTTATTGCATTCCACCATCCAAAAACCATAGGGAAATCTTTCAACAAAAAAAAATATATATCACACGGATACACTGAGAAAATGTTCACCCCAACAATGGAGTGATAACCCTTTCCTCCCCTTTATCAAAAAGAAACGCAGGCATAAAGATAACATCTGTGCTAGGCAAACCTAGAAATACGTGTATGTGCCCCCTACACACACAACATATAATTTCACGCTAAATTGCCTTTGCATCTGATTCAAAGCAGTTAAATAATAGTATTCACACACACAAGGCATTTGCTTGCATAGCTGAAGGAATGGTGAATTATATGGCAGTTTTCATAGTATATGCTGAAAGGAAGGAAGTTATTTTATATGTAAGACCTCTCTTGGGAATAACCAAAATGGTTTTCAGTCAGGATCAACAGCACTATTCATCCACTCTTGCACACTTTCATGAATTATACTTAGCAATTGATTTTAAATCATATAAACTATGATTGATTACAGTTAATATGCTGCTTGAAATGATAGTGCCAGCTGAAAAGACTGGGAACGAAAAGCATGTTACTGAATAAAATATATAATAAGCTGCTATCTTCATTAGCACACAGACATGTTATCAACACAAGAACAAGAGCCCTTATGTAACATTACCTGGCATTGTAGACTGAAAAATAAATGCAGAAACTACGTATTTAAGAGGTTTATAGACTAGCACATAAACATTCTGTTCCTGCCTTAGCAAAGTTATTTGAGTGTTTTTCTTAATCAGCAGTGGTTATACTTTTAATTAGCAGGAGTTGATTATATATTTAAAAAAAAAAAAAAAAGAAAAAAGAAAAAATAAACTTGGGTTGGAAATCAACAGCAAAGATGTCTAGCAAACTGCAATTACTACAATGTGATTTTTTGGGAATATTATGGTGCCTGCATAAGAACTATGGAGATAACCTCCTTTCAGCAAAACAAGATTTACATTGCTTTTCGGTGGGAAGAACAGATGGGAGAACACTATTTGTACAGATTATGGAACAATCCTAAAATGTAGTTGAATGGAAATTACAGTGTATTACAAAGAATCCTGGAAACTCACATTACCTCAAAATAATGTGTAGTACTGGGAAGGAACAACTACCAATATTGTAAAAAAAAAAAAAAAAAAAGAAAAATAATAATAATTATTTAAAAAAAAAGCAAGCATTCAAAATTCTTTTTTGCAAATATATCCATTACTATCCATTACATTAAAGAGAAATTATGGTTAACTATACGGGGTCAGCCACTGAAAAATATCCAAACACGGACAACTTACTTGCTAGAGCTAGTGCATTTGCACCTCACATCCAGCCTACAGTAACAGTGGATGTCACTGACATTCATTCACAGCGACATTTTCCGTATGGTAGAAGCAGAAGAACGAGTTGGTACCACTAGCATTAGTTTTCACAGGCTCAGGTACAAAATTAAACTTGTAGGGGATTCCTGTGTTCTTTGTCAAATCTTTTTTTTTCTTTTTTTTTAATACACAAAATATAATGGCATAAAGAAATAACAAAGAACGGGTGAAAATGTAGCAGCAGTGAATGAGGTGTGCAGATACTACAGGCTGTGTCAGGCCACATAATTCAACAGCCAGCAGCTTTGATCCAGACAGCATTGATCAAATAACAGTCTGCTGATATCCAGCATTTTATGAAGAGAAGGCAGCTAGTTTATAAGTTTCATTTTATTTTCTGAGAAACTCTGACTTGTCAGTATGAAAGATTTCTTCCATTAGTTAGAGCCTCTCTTTCACAAGGCAACAGAGTGAGACTCTCAGGAAAATGTTAAATGTGAGTTGCCTGTCACATGATATGGTAGGGAATCAAAAAATGTGATACTTCCTTTTCCCAATGTGGAGGGAGATCCTTTGTTTAAGGAAATAAATCTGTTTGCCTTTCAAAAGACAGAGAGGGAAGGTAAAGGAAGAGAAAGAAAGGGAAGAGAATAAAATAACTAACTTTTAGGTCCTGTCTGAGGAAAAGGCAGAAGAGAGACAGTCACAGTTCATGAGGCTACTGAGGATGCCAACCCACTGGTTCTTCTCTTTTCTTTTTTCCCTCTGAAATATTCCCCTCTACCTCTGCCTTTTCCATAACCCAGGAAACAGAACTACTTTCTAGCCTATGGATGTCTTCACATACTTTTTGTTGTTCCTGTGGTGCTACTGTCCAGAAAACCCATCTGCTTGTGGAAGGGAAGGTATCTCTTCGCTTAAAGATATCAGTGGGACAAAATCATTCCTCAAGCTGAGAACAATTTAGATTTCCATTTAAAACAGGTATTCTGCTGCAACACTTCCGTAGCCTACGGAATAAAATGATGGCTTATGATTATAAAAGCCAACTGTTACCAAGAATTCAGACCAGCCTAGATGTGGTCACTCAGCCTTTATACTCTATAAATCATTTTAGCATCAGAGCATCTCTCCAATCATTCACAATCAGAGGAAGATGTCCTTTAACGACAATTATAATTAATGTTAGCTAATGGTCTGTAACTCTGACTTTATTCCTCATTTTGCATGGAGGACATTTCTTTTCTGCAATGCATTAAAACAAATGTCCTGCAGGAAGAACACCTTCCAAATAAGCTACTACAGATGAACTTATGTTGCTATTGATATTAATGGGAATTTTACCATGAACTCACATCCAATGAGATTTCACCCAAAGCATTCAACCATTCAATCCATTTCTTTTTCCTCAAAATGAGCTAAATATTTGTTAGTTCATTTTCATTTCACATTGTACAAGACTGACATAACGGAGCAAATTTTTTTTAGGTGAAATTACAATTAAATTACATACATGTATGTACAAGTTTAGTCTAGTACTTAATATTAACCTGATCTTCAATCCTTATTTGTTCAGTCAGGAAAATAAATAAATAAATAAAAATCAGTGACACTGCAATATTAAAATTATTTTTTAAATTATCTAAAGTTCTAGAATTCTTTTCTCTTCCTTGTTTGATTGCTCTACAAAAATGTTTATAATTTGAGAGCCACTGTATAATTAAGACTGGTCTCAACTATAAGCTTTAAAGTGAATGCTACAGCTGTCACTGGCTTGCTAATTGCACTCTACATTTATAAGCATGAAATCTTTGTTTCTATAAAAATAGAAACAGCCAGTCTCCAAGTATAATCATGATCTCCTGACAGTGCTGCTACTTTTTTTCAGAAGTTTCTGCTCTAATAGTATTCCAAAAGGAATTTTATATATATAAAATAATATGTAATTCTTTTATAACAATATATATTATATAAATTATATAATACATAAATTATTTTATATATTATATAATAATTATATATAAATTATTATATTATATATTAAGGTCTTATCATAAATTGATAATTATTATTATCATAATTATTATAATAACAACAATAATAAGCTTTAGCACAGTTGGAGACATTCTGGAGAAAGATGAAGGCATTTCTTGCATTGAAAAGGGAAAAATATATTTCCCATAATACCGGAATGCATAGGTTTTCAAAGACTGCTACAATTAAGAATGTGCATAAAAAGCATTTTGGATTAATTTTTAATCCTAATGTAAATCTCTCAGCAAAGTTCACAATATGTTGTTCATATTTAGAGATGTTTTTTGCATTCCCGATATTTATATTTTCATAAATATAGCTTTTTTTCTGTGAGATTACACAGTGCAGTATTTACAAGGTTAGTTTTTTTTTCCTGTTTTGCATTAATTTCTTTAGTATATTCTTCCTTCAGCAGATTCACTGGAAATACTACAAATATACTGCAAAAGTACTTCCTTGGAAGGATTGCAAATATAAACATATTCTGTTACAGAATTATGCTGCATCTGAGGGCGACAGCTCCATCTGGTGTATTCATTTTTTTTATTATTATTATTTTGGAAGTGTTATTAAACAGTAATTCCTATAAGTAAAGTCCTGCGGAACAGCTTCTGGCAATGAAATATGACTTAAAAATGAATCAGAAGCTACATGCTTTATTGGTAAAGGGTGATATTTATAAATCATTCTTCTTACTTTAAAAATCAGAAGAAGAAAACAGTGAGATATTGTATTGAATATTGTATTAATATTCAGGCATCCTATGCCTAGCAAGAGATAACATACTGCACCTTTTGTGATACATGATTCAGAGTTATCATTTTGAAGCAGGGTCATTGTTCACACAGAATCTAATCCAGGCCCTCTAAAATCAGCAAGAAACCTTCACTTCAGAGAAGCATTAGATCAGAATTCTAACTCTCCTGATGCATGAATTAATTTCTTCACCAGTCCATGTCCAATCCATTGGCAGCACGAGGCTCACATGATTGCAAGGACAAGGGAAGGTGTTAACCCTGGCACAGCGCAGTATCTATTTCATGGCCCAGTGGCACGTGCTATTGTCGCGCTGTGCACAGCACTTGTGGACATCACTGGGCACAGTTGTGGTGGGAGTACAGTCTGTACTGGGGGTACTGCATATCAGTGTTTCACACTATGCCCCAATTTGAGAAATAAGAACATAATTTTGACAGATATCGTTCTCAGGAAAGTGTCGTCATCCATTGCTTCAAGGTCAAACACTGTTCACTGAATAATCAGCCTGCAATTCGTAATAGCGTCCAACTTGCTGCTCCCATTGAGAGATAATGAAATATAATGATACCTTTATTCCATATCACAGTTTTACTCTATGGTGCCAACTTTGTAAATGTATGTCCACAAACTCCAGCAGCCTTGATTTCAGAGTTCCTTTGAGGGCTAGCAGTTACCTGATCACTTCTGAACAGCAAAGGTTCTAACGTTTTTGTATTATTTTGAAGATGCAAACTATTCTAGCAGAAGCCCATGAAAATGCATTCAACTCAGTGGGACATTTACCATGATGTTGAAGTATTGGTGGAAACACCGAAGTACCACAACAAAAGTATGCAGTTTATTGACGGATGTTTCCACTTTAATAGCATATGGTTATTATTTCAGTTTGTAACGTGAGAGCACAGTAACAGCATTACCAGACACTAATATTTGGCTGTTCGAAAAGGTATAGAATATCTTCATCTTAATTTATTAAAACCGTGAATTACTTATATAACTGTAGAGCAAAATGTATTTAAATAATGAAATTGTAACACAATATGATTATGTATGTATATAGGTTAAAAAATAATAGTAATTTAATCACAGACATTCATTTTAAATGACACTGCATTCACACTGAACGATCTGTCTTACCATGAGGCGATATTTCATTTCTGAATCAACTGGTCTTCCCGCTTCCATGCAGGCTGTGAGCCATGAAATATCCAGTAATTCAAACCTGGAGCTGTCACCCACAGCCTGTCCTCTCAGCCAGTCCAGCACTTCTAGGTAAGAGTTGTTCTCAGCCACAATGTGAGTGACAGAATCACTATCAAGAAATACAGAAAAAGAAGTTTTCTTTTCTTTCTGAACCCAACTGTACACAGCTATGGAACTGCTATTTTTGTATTTACCTCCCACACACTACCTGAAAATTGCTGTATATATTATATGTTAGGATGTGGGAAGAGGATGCTTTTTCATATCACAATATGTCTATACCAGTCACTGAATCTGCTTTGAGGAAAAACTTTAGCCTGACAACTCCTGTAAGTGCAGCATTTTATTTTTTTTGGCATCATTTGACTGCTGTAAGTCTATCTTATTACACATCTTTTTGCAAATGAAAATATTTGGCTTGCACAAGCCATATTATAATGAAAAGGCTGCTTTACAATACCTGACAACCTGCCTCCCAAGATTCCCAGTCAATGAAGAAAAGCCTTGCAGTATTCAAAATTCTGTTAACAATCATTCTTTAAAGATTTGCAGCTAGTAATATTTTTTGGAAATTTAATTTTTCACTACTTACATTAAGCTACTGCCAAAGGTTCATGAGCTAAATCTGACAAATTATGCACTGCATCTAAAGAGCACTTTTTTGCTACTAAGATGCCAGTCTCTTACAAGACTGATATCCTAGTTTAGCTAGTATAAAAAAATTCAGTGAGTTTTGGCTCAATAAATTATTTAGCGGTTATGTGTACATTGCTTATAAATATGGTAGCAAGAAGTTTACATACTAAATGTAGATTGTTTTATTAGAATAACTTTTGGAAGAATTCCATGATAGTTCACAATGAAAAAGACACAGTTCAGCACCTTCTGCTAAGAAAGAATGGACAGGGGCAAAGTTTACATTTCAAGAAAAAATTACACAGTTGGAGTGATCTGTAAATTTCTACCTGGCCCACTAATGTTCCTCAGTAAGTTTAAAAGACTACTAACTTGGTAGGAAGATTTAAGAGTGTACTTCCAAGTGTTTCCCTCCACAAACACCCCAGAAGGGTGAAGTCGCCCAAAAAAAAAAAAAGCAACAGATAAAGGAAGAAGCTTCATTTTCATTAAACTTTAGGACTTCAGTATCTCTGAAATCTATGTGAAAATTAACTGAAATCAGTCAACAAAGAAGCTGAAACTTTCACCTGAATGAATTCTCCTGAGAGCAATATCCTCCATTTACAAGCCTCTGTATCCTCCTGCTAGCCCATGCTGCTGACAACTTTGTGCATGTACAGTAAATTTCAAAGGGACCTTGAGCCTGGTCCTGATTAACTTCACAGATTGCATTGCTGACCTTCCATAAAACCTGGTGAAGTTAAGCCATCAAGCCATTCCAAGACAAGGCACCACTGAAGAGATGGCTGGTTTGTATGGACTTTAAAATAACCTGTGCAAAGTGTTAAAGACAGATTGGCTGTACAACCTTTTAAAGCAAAATACTTCCTAGGAAAACAACAAAATCTCTTGGCCCTGTGACCCCAATTCACACTAATAATCACTAACTTTATTAAATCTCCCAGCCACAAAAACAAATGCTGAGGAGTCTTACCATAGAAAACTTATCATCTAATTCTCCAGTGCATTAATTGTACTATATTTTGGACAGATACATAATGCATAGAATACGCTATGCTTTAAAAATACAAATGATGACGCAGCATAGTGCAATTCTTTTCTCTTCATACTTGTGCAACTTGAGGAACAGAGTCCATTGAAAAAAAATGCCTAATGTATTTTAATTTTAAAGATAGCAAATCTAGGCTAGGTGACATTATGAAATATTGTTTTTATTACTACTTAATCCTACTAAGTTCTACTTTAATTAAACTGTCACATCCTCACTTGAGTAAAACAAAATCAGTTAGAGACATAGAACTTCTGCTTCCTGTGGTTTATTTCACTTTATATAAAATATTCATATGTAATGTATTTGTGCCAAGCTGCAGATCTGGGAACTTTGCCATCACTACACTTGCAGCAGCTGTTTAGTTGCTGTGCACCAGTTTCCTCTGGTACCTGTACAGCTGTGCCGTCTTCTTGGCACAAAATGTAACAAATTAACATTTTCTCTGGCATTTAAAAAAAAAAAAAATCAAGAGTTATACAGTTCTTTTTCATCCAGTAGCAGCTAAGCTGAAATTAAATAGCGCCTCGGTTGTATACAACTTGCAGAAAGTCTGAAACATCGGCAATAAATACCTGTGTCAACAGCAGTCCAGATAAAACACTTTAATCAGTCCTCAATGGATTGTTAATGTAGGACTTAGAAGAGCCCATTTTATTTTTTTTTTCCTGAAAATTCTATTAGTTTTGTATCAGACACTAATTGCCTACTTCTGTTCAATACCTGCTTAAATCTTGCTTTACAAATTATTTCTTCCTTGTTTCTTCCCTGGTCTTTCAAAGTTGATGAGACTGAAAAATCTGTGGAAATAATCTTTTAAAGGAAAGACCCAGTTGCATGCTATATGCAAAAAGATCCAGAGAAATGATCAATACTTCTTTTTCTTCCAACTTCTCAAAAAACCTACATAATGATGTAGGTTTCAGAAAACTGCATAATAACTAATGCTCATGAAAAGCAATATTTGGAGGAAGGCTTCTTTCAAAATGAATAGGTTTATCAAAAGACCACCATATTATAAGTCTGCCACTGGAGTATATCGTCACCCTGAAATGCAACATCTGTGATATTTCATTCCTAGGCCTTTCCTCCAGAGCTCTGCCAGATTGTACCAAAGTGTTAGCCAGTAATTCTTAACCTCACAGCAGTGTATTACTCAGAAAAAGATTAGATATTAGAATACCAAGGATGATGTGGAGAAATGCCCCCTCAACACACCACACTTTCCATGCTGATATATTTACGTGTAATTCTTTTTCACTTCAGGTAGTGGCTGTTAAATTAAAAAAAAAAAAAAAAAAAAAAAAAAAAAAAACTTGATATCAAGACAGAAATAAACAATGACCATTTAGATGAGCTAGAGACATGACTCATTTCTTCCTGCAAAATTATACAAATGCACAGACACAAATCCCATGAAAGACATTCACAAGCTCAGAGCTTAGGTTTCTTGTTTTCCATGCGAGCTGCAGCACACTGAGAAGTGCAAACATATCAAAATTGACACACCTGTGATAAATTGGAACCATTGATTTTAGAGGTAAAAAGTAAGAGTTTTTGCTAGTCTTTGCGTTCTGCTTGCTCTCTGCCCAGAAGGTAACAGAAATGAACTGTGCTTTAGCAATACAGAGTGAAATCCTGAAGCATCATTATACTGGGAAGAGCAAAGTATATCCACAAAATACATAGGCAAAAAATTCAACTGCAGTCACTTGTATAACTGCATTTATTAAATAAGAATGTTTTAAGCACCATTCCTGCATGTTATTTCTACATATATAAACATTTTCCTACCTTAGTTCACTTTCTACTCTGAAACCTTTGCTTCTTGCCAGCTCCATTAAAAAGGTTCTTCTGGTCATCCCCATCTTTCTCTGCATAATAAAAATTACAAAGTTATTGAACTTTATTTCATAACTGCAGGAAAATTTGGGGGAATGCATCCCTTTCTGCCTCTTCCTCTGGGAAGCCGGAGTTCTGATCCTATCCATGATGCAAGGTAGAAATGTTTTCACTTGAAAGAAAGGGAGCTAACACACTTACTGTCAGCAGCTGTACTTAATGTCACCACCCATTGAAGTCATTTTCCTCTGTTTCCCCTCTGAAATCAAGAACAGATGCTACATGAGCAGAAAACATTACTTCTTTTCTACCACCTAGGACTTTTGCGCAGAACTACTCCAAAGAGATGCAAATATGATATAATTGCTTAAAACATCCATCATCCGTAAAGACTTTATCCAAACAATATTGATTACAGGAAAATCAGCTTCAACTAGTTTAATTGCACAGTTTCATTAGTTTCTGCTTACTTTTTTTTCCCCCAAACCTCAATTTTCCAAATTGTAGGGCACACGGAGTTTCAGTAGATTGATAAACAAATACATAAATAAATAAATTATTTCTATCTTCTTAATAACAGTATACAAATGTTATAAAACCATCTGTACACTTGTTATGTCTGTGTGATTAATTATTTGATTAGAAAGGGAATAGATTTTTAGGACAAAAAAAAAAAAAGTTTTTGAAACTGAATTTACAATTAAATAAATCTGTTGCTGTTTTGAGAATAAGGTAATGAAAGACAGAGAAATTGTTAGAGACGTCTTCAATTATAACTCTGGCATATGTTGCCATCATTGCTTTCTACTACCTGCCCTGGAATACATTCCTGTCTGTGGCATATACATTAGAGAATAATTCTGCTTTTAAGCATCCAGTGACCTCCAAACTACAGAGAAGATTATGGAAGCTATATCCCATCCTGTCCTAGAGCATGGCATACTAGTCATCAGAGGACTTCGCTAGAATTTATTGCAGATATATTTCATCATGTTGGGCCCATTTAGATATGGCCCTGAAATTCCATCAGTGCAAAATGAATGCAAACAACCAAGTTTACTGTATGTGCATCTATTTCAGCACAAAAACTATTTCAGTTGTAAATAGCCCCATTTCTATGTCAAGTTGGATTTTTATTTTTGTTGTAGCAGAGAATTTGGATTTTGCGAGTCCTTCAGAATGTGTCAGAAATATTATAACTTGCAATTCTCATTGCTCATGTTCAGGAGAGGAAGCAAGGTGGAAAATCCTGCCTAAGTCAGATCCATCAATTTTATTTTCAGTCATTTTATCATGGATGGATATAAATTCTGAGTTATGGAAAAATGACTCAAAACCTGTTTCCTGCAATTATGGCCATGAGTTTAAGCTTAAATTATAAAAAGTATTACTGACATTTTCCCAGCCCTATATCTCATGCTGCTTCAACTGTATTATCACAGATATAAAGAAACAGTTTTCATCCGAATAGAAACTAACCATTAAAAATTAATATAGAGCTCTCAGCTCTGGGGTCTTCCTGAGGCCATGAAAAAGAATATATACATAGTTCTGTACATAGACTAGACACCATTCATTTCTTCCATTGCCTAAGGATAATCCAGAAGCCAAAATATCTATTCCTCTTTCTGATTCATAACATTAAAATTGTCAAAATAGATCACTTCAAGGTTATTTTTAAATTATGTGAGACATTTTCATAGGAACTGGAAAATGGACAGGCAGACCTTAAGAGGCTTAAGCAAAAGAATAGCAAAAAAGAAAAAAAATGAGGCGTGATGGGTCTGGCATTAAGGCTGAGCAATCTGTTGTGGTTGCTCCATGTCTGTTTTCTATAATACTAATTATATCCATATCCATTGAGCACTGGATGTATCTCTTTTTACAGCCTTCATAGGCTTCGTAAAATGCTTTACTTTATCTCAAGCCCTACAAGGAATAAGGTATTTGAGAACAGATTCTTTACATATGTTAAACAAAGGCTTTTTTATGTTATAATTAATTCGGTGTTCTCAAATATGCAAATATAATTTCCCTCAGTGTAATATGAAGATGCTCAGTGCCAGTAAAACCCTTCGGGCATGAAAAACATAAGTTATTATTCCTTTGTGTTGCTCTAATAACACTTGAGCCAGATTTTTGAGGGTATTTAGGAGCCAAAAAGATGCAGAGGCCTAGTGGGATTTTCAAAGTCATCAAGGTCAGTTAGGCATCCAACTCCTTTGGAAATCAATTTCTGACTTTCAACCCAATGCAAAAAAGATTTTCTTTGTCAGATAAATACAGCATAATGTCATGGAAATGTCTCTGCCAATGATGCAATTTTATTAAAAATACATTCTAAAATTAATAAGATTTCCAAATCCCAGCTGAGCGAATAATCTGCTCTCCTACAACATCACACTATAATATTTTTGACAGTAACACAGGAAGTAGAATATGTTTTACAAAAAAAAAGGCAAATACAGTGTGTCTGTCATATATGATGAAGGAAAGCAACCCATTACCTGAATCATGGCACCACCTCACCTTCACTATGCATGACCAGCAGCTTAAAACCATGGAAACTTTTTCCAATTCAGTGCAGTTCCTCCAGTGTACAGACTCCTGGCGGAGTCAGGGTGGTTCGCTTCCCTGGAGGGAAATCTTTGTTCTCATGTTGTTGTTGTGGATTAATGTTGTGGACCATCAAAGGCATGGATTAGGAATGGGATGTTTGTAAGTGATCACCACTTGTGATGCCTGTGCCAATGACAGTCAGCCAAGCAGTCTATAGGCAGTGCCTGGCAGAGACATGGGCCTGACCATGCAAGGGGCTGATCCAGCTCCAAAGGGGTTCCTCAGGGGGAAAAACAGTGGGAACACGTGGTTTCTGGAAAGCACAGTTCAACTCCTCTGAATGTCAGTACTCACACATGCTTTCACTGCACCTTCTGGATTATTGTCAGATAGTCTTAGTGCCCTGCTTTTATATGAATGGCGTTGTAAATATTTTATAAAACCTTACTTGCCCATTTTTTATAGCTTTCCTGTGAAGAGTCAGAAGTGGTGACAGGTGATTTTAATCAGGCTCTACAGTATACTAACCTTTGAGAAAGAATATCTTAAGCACAATCAATAAAAACTAGACAAGTGATTGCATACATTTTTGGGTTTTGATTTAACCTTGGCTTAACAGTGTTTCACACTCTATTGTTTCACAAAAAGTATTTTTTCTTAGCTTTTTTTATTTTAAAATATTTGATAATTCAATGTTCATTTCTCAATGAACAATTTTATGGAAAATTTAAAATTCTGTTATTTTTCTTTTTTCTTTTTCCTCTCTAGATATTACTGTCTGCTTTTGCTTGAGCTCTGGCCTTTTCAGTGGCTAAGCAGGCCACTCACTGTTGATACCTGTTCTTCCAGTCTCTCAGTGCTTACAAATAACATGGCTATTGCTTCTCCTGATTTTTTTTAGGGAGGGTGTTGGGGGAAGGAAGATTAGCTTCTAGAAATAAGCACAGCCTTTGTTTTAATTCATTCTTCTTCTTCACTTGTTACCAGGGTATGGACTCACAAACACTTCAAGCTTCTACCCTTAATCCCACATTATGTGGAAAGTTTATATTATTGTTTAGTAGGTAATCAACAAGTTTTAACAATATCTTAAAATTCCATCAAACAAAAAGGGTCAGTATCTGGGAATCTATTTCTTTAGTTCCCCCTTTTTTCTTCCACTTTCATTTACTAATATATAAATTCTTTCACAACGTGCATGGTAAACAAACCTGGTAGCCTACAACATAAAGAAAGAGAACATCATGCTGCACATTTGATTACAGCATTTTGAATAAATGTACAATTATTAAAGATAAGGAAACATTGAAAAATATATTCTGGGAATGTTCAGATACCTTTAAAAATCAATTCTCTTTTATTCCCTTTGATGTTTATGTTCTTTGAATTACTCACTATGATATTTTCTGGGAGGAACTTTGAAATATATGCTCTTGAGCTATTCACATTGGAAATGATAAACTCCTTAAAACACCCAGGTGACCAAGAATTTGTATAAACTGATGAATTGATAGTATACTTTGAATGTACTTACTTGGCTGTATCATTGCATTTGTCACGTAAGATACAGAGGACATGAAATCTTGTAGTTGCTGTTATCAGATGTACATTTTTGATGTACATGATCAGAATAGCTGCTTATTGTTTCTTTTTTTTTTTTTTCCAAAATGGAGGTGAAAACCTGAATAAGAAAAATGAATTTAGTGACATACCTCAGAAACTGACCATGTAGAAATCATACAATGAGCTGACAGCTTCTTTAACTGACTCTATGTTATAGACTCATTTATAGAAAGGGTTTGTACTTCTAAGCCCTTCCTGAGAAAACAAGGAAAGAGTGATGTCACATTGTTGAACAATAGAACAGGGCAATAAGGTTCCCCCTTACAGCATGGGGAAAAGTAATTGGTGACAAATCCTGGCAGGAGTTACTTCCTTCCCGTGCCAGTATGTCTATATTCCATGGAAACTATTATTTCCACTCTGCCTTCAGTCTCTCTGTTCAATAACAACGCTTGCAATTGCATTCTTTGGTTACTCTGCTAATGGCAGCTGCTGTTCCTTCTTGTGATTGTTATTGGGCTATCCTTTGATTTTTGTGCTGGTGCATCAGTGATTTTTGTGCTTTTGTGCATCAGTGATTTTCTTTATACTGTAGTCTCATGAAAGCCTTGCGAACCTGTCAGCACCAAATAGATATATCTTCATAATCCTGTCAATGTACATGGTCAGGCAGATCCTTGAGCAACTACACACCTCTTTCCAAACACAGTTTACAAAGGTAAAGGCCTTTGGATAATAAGTACTGTTTTCCAGACTCTCTCAGTAATACTCTAAATATTCTTCCTAATAATATTAATTCTTAATAATAATATTAATTAATAATTCTTCTTAATTCTTCTCTTAATTCTAATTTTTCTCTTAATATTAATATTAATACTCTTATTAATACTATTAATACTCTTGCCAGTATTAAGGACATTTCTGTTAATTAACAAATATCCAACAACTTTTCATATTTGAGGTGTCACACAAGTTGTGTTGCATGGCTTATGCCTAGGCAGCTGAAAAGATTATACTTCTATCTGAGAAATGACCAAATAATGCTCCTGTGGACATTTCAGAAACTTCTTATATAAAAAGGTAATAGTAGAAATGAATGCTCTGTAAAAATTCTTATCCTGTAAGCTTAGTTCCTCCCTTACACCACTAGTACAATACTGCCAAGGTAGTAGGTAATTTGGCCAGGTATCATTATTATCATTATACTATATATCATTATATTATCATTAATTTATTGCTACAATAGTTACCAGTTCATACAATAGATGCGTCTTGCAGTAACTGCAAATAATGCAGTTGTAGGCCTACTTACACCTCAAAAAATGCAAACATCTGTACGGGTGACATTTATGTCTTTTACATTTACAGATAGTAAAGCATGATGCATCTAATAAAGAGAAATACACTTAGTCCAGAATAATGAAATACTGGAAAAGGCTGTTTCTATATTTCCTATAAAACTTTCAATTATATACTCAATATTCAGTACTACAGGAAAGCTTATTTGGCATGCAGCTCCCACATCATTAAACTGAGGAGATAATCAGACCAGCTAATGTAAAAGAGAGGAGTAAATAACAGTAAGTACTATAGATAATGTTGTTGCAGAGAGAAGAAAAACTTACATGATATATCTCTGATATATCTCTGATAACATTACATGATATATCTCCTTGTTCCTTTCACAAGTTTATGTACATCACAGTAAAATAAGAAAGTTTATCTCCCCTACTAGTTTACTGAGCAAAAGCAACAGGTAATGGTTAACATCATGGTGAGTTCTGACAGTGGTCTTTCTGTATACTCCATCAAAAACAGCTGTAGAAAAAAATGTTATCACTAGCACCAGCAAAGCAAAAAAGACTCCTGATGAGCATTTCACATATTGTGTTACCTCCAGAAACAAAATAAAACAAGTGTTTATCTGAATGATGTGTTATAACTTTTGCAAGTGAATGGAAAAATCAATGTTTTTTTTTTGTTCTAGAAATATCAGAGGAAAAGAGCCAGAAAGCATGGTGGAACAGGGCAGTATTCTCACCTTTCAGACATATTGCAGTCCTGAGTTCCACTAATGCAGAACTAATTGCAGCAAAAGTAATGTAGCTGGGTAATATTAATTACCATTAACATTGCAGGAAAGAGTTTGCTTCATCCAGCTGGTTTTTAAAATCCAAAAATATTCTAGACTCAGTTTCTACAAAAGCATTCTGTCATTTTCTTACTAACTTCACCTACAATTTGGCAGACGCTTAGAGTATCACAAAATACTTAAACATTCTTTATTTTACACTGTGGATCTGATAGCTCTACCTTTCAGAACACTGAAAGGTGTTTTTTCTCAACCGCATAAAAATTCATTTCTCAAAGCAACCAGAAATTCTTTTCCCATACAAGTCAAGATTGGCTCCATCATTCCAGTCTATAGAAAATGTAATACTACTAAGTTTCAGATAGCCCCTGTAAGCCCTGGCCCAGTTTCGGCTTGCATACTTATTTAACTCTGAACATGTTGATCAATCTTTATTAGAAAACTACAGTCTCCCTAGTTGTTTTTAAGATCATAAACTTTAAAGTCATTTTTCTGACTTCTTAAATCACAGATACGAATATTGTGCTATTATTTTATGATGCGTATCTGCTTATTAGGAAATGTCAGCATGAATTTTGTCACATTTTTATTATCCAAAGAAACGGTATAATTCCGTCTAATTGAAGTAATTTATTGATACTACTTTGTATTATGAGCTTTACTTCTCTTTCCTGTGCTTATTGCTGCAGAGATTTAGTTTTAAGAAACAAAAGCTAATTTTCTGCTGCATGAAAAGAAGCCAGACCCAACGTTGAATCACACAGCTATGAATAAAGCTGCTAGTTCAATACTTCAATAACAAATCAGAAGACCACACTGAACTGCAGAATTTTCTATCATCAAGCTTCAACTTCTCTTACACTAAGAAAGAAGCATAATAATTCTTGATTCCTATGCTAAACTAATTATTATTACATATCATAAAGCATGAAAGCAAGAAGGATATAAAGCTAATAAGTCTATTTGCAAATGCTGTTCTGCTACAATTTACTCAAGAGTTTACTAAAAATACATGCTGTTTATAATTTAAAGGCATTTTGATTTAGTCATTTTGCGCTTTGTGATGTTATTAAGGAAACAATTCAATATCTTTTTTTTTTTCCTGCTGGCATTCCATTATGTGGATTACAATGCACTGAAACTCAAAGTGTCAGGAATACAAGAATGATACACAGACAGATTTAGCTCCTGCTTTGTTTAACTGTGTTGAATTATGTGGAGTTAAAGTTGTAAAACCAAGCCAAGTTAGAGGAAAGAAAGTATGTGCTAATGGTTATGGAAAGCAGGTAACTGGTTACAAACCCCAAAGATACCATTTTCCCAAGAACAATTATTTTGGCAATATCACTCCATAGGTATTTTCTAACCCAGCTGGATTGCCAGGAGTTTTAGGCTGCTCTTCTACGAGCTTGATTCAAGCACCACAGAACTGATACTGAACTGTCAGTGGACTTTCATTGTCTAAAAGCAAACGAGTCAAATAGGAGGATTTAGAGAAAAACTCCTGTAGATTTTGGTAGTTAGTCCAGACTACTGATTTTACATGAGGCATTGAGGAAAACTGCTTCTTCACTCTTATAGCCTTAACCACTGGTCTGTGCCACGCAGACTCAAGTGAGAGCTGGATGATGGTGATTGATGAAATCAGCTTAGAAAAGAAGAAAATGTAAAGACTGACTATGCAGTAGTCTTTACTGTGCTGATTGCATATGGCATCCTGAAAAGAAACTGAATGTAAATATTTCTTGATGAAAGATGATAGAGAAAACATAAAGTCAGACCCAAATCAGACCGTAAATATATGTGTTTCTGAGAGGGAATAAGAAGTTTCACATTTGAGGGAAGAAATATTACAGGAAATAAGAGCACACTTCACTGTGCTACAGTGAGTGAAAAAAAATAAAAAAATAAAAATGACTATGTCCAGGAAAAAAAGGTTTCTGAGTAGGAAGTAGGTGGCATTTAATAGTGGCAAGGAAGTAGGTATTTCGAAAAGGCATATGCTACAGGCCATTAATAAATATCCTAAATGTCTATTCTCTAGTAGACATTGCTGAACAAAGTTGAAAGGCACCAGAAATATCTTTAGAACTTGTGTTTAACTCTGCATTATGTGTGCATGTATATATACTAATATCTCTGAGTTCCATATAAAATTATTTTGCAGAAGTACTAACGTTAATGTTCAAACAGAGATAGTAATTGCTGGGAGAAACGCTAGCAACCATTTATACATGTTCTCTTTACTAAAAGAGAACATGGTGAAAAACAAAAGACAACAAAACACAAAACCCACCAGTCTTTGTGGTGAGATACAAAGCTGCGGGGCATGCTCCCTGCTGCTCCAGAGCAAACCACCACAGGTTCACCTCACATTGCCTCCACAGATGTGCTACCCACAGACATGCTACAGCATAAACAAAAGGCAGTACCATGTAGAAGACTGAACACTGGGGCCAAGAACTGAGGATAAGTGGTTGTTTTAAAGGGAAACAAAAAGTAACTGACAGTACTTCTCCAGTCATACTCAGGCCTTACAAGACTGTGGGCTGGTAAGATGTTCTCAAAGCTATACTACATTGCTTGGTATAGTTATTTAGGAGACTGAGTAAAAATGATTAGAAAAATAGCAGAGCAGTGAAGTCCTAAAATTAAATTTCTTGGAAAGGTTATACAGACTCCTCAATCATCTCCAGAACATACAATAAAGATTTTAGCTATACATTAAAAGAAGGATTACTCAGGTTTCCTTCTGTCGTTGAATTTGAGAATATTTTCTCATTATGGAAATGATTTAAGGTCTGTCATGTTGCCTTCTTTCCCATTAATCCAACTTTGCCTACCCAGCTTGTATTGCATTCACTGCACTTTAGACAATAGATGTAAAGTGCTAGATTATAGAATTTTGTTTCCAGGGTTGTGACAGTGTTTGTTTATCAGTGTCCATCTCCCCATATATCTTCTATTGGTTTGGTCCTGTATTAATTCACGAGAACAACTGGGTTGTGTTAAGGTTAAAAATAACA